CCCCTTAAGAAAATGTTTCCATTGTTTACAAAGTCTCATTTTCAATTCTATTACTCATTTTGTCATAAGCAGGTAAACTTCTATGTTTTTTTTAAAGTTGCTCTTTCCTGCAGTGTCATAGAGTTGCAAGCTGTATTCACTATGCCACATCAAACCAGCAGTGCCAAGAGAAAGAGAAATTTAATATTCTGCATTTTTAAATTTTATCAATGAATCCTCCTTGCATAGAATATGTTCAGTGCAAGGAAATTTGAAATTACAGGAATCAATTTCCTAGCTTTCTCCAGCTCATGTCCTACATATCAACTAAATATCCCATTTATTTTTCTACTTTTACACACAGATGACTTATTTAAAACGTAAGATCTGTTACTGATGTCTTATTGCATATTTTAAGAATATACAGTATCCTACATATGTATCCAGACATGCTGGGATTATAATCCAACCTTGCTGGGAATTCTGAAACTTGTGGTCTCAAAAAATCTGGAAAATATGAGTTTCAAAAAAAAAACCTAATAAAAAAATAGAATATACAGCACCTTTTTCCATATCATACTATAGTTCCATAACCCTCAAGAGAAAGTCTGCAAAGAAAAAAGCAGAGCAGTAAAATTGTCACCTATAGCAGAAGTTCCAAACCCCCAGTCCGTGGACTGATACTGGTCTCTGGCATGCCAGAAACTGGGCTGCACAAACCAAGTGAAGCCCCATCTGAGGGATGCAGGCATCACGTGAAACAAGACCCCCCTCTGGTCCACAGAAAAACCTCTCTCCATGAAACGGGGCCCTGGTGCCCAAAAGGTTGACCTATAGTAAAAATTCAGATCAGAGCTACAATTTCAAAATAATTAAGAGACCTAGTCCAACTACTGTAGAGAGAGAGTGATAGTCTGATTCCAATGAATCAGTGAATCAATTTAATGGTGCCTCAATCTTGCAACATAACCGTGTTGCGTTCAAACAGGTTTCATTGTTGCATTTACATAGAATTACAACTTCAATGTAACTGGACCCAATTATGATTAAAATAATTAGAGAAGCAATATTATTGAACTATCAATTCCTGTAGGATCTGGAAAAATAATGCTAATTAAATAAGCCTTTGGTTTAAACTAACGTAGAACAAAACTGCACAACTCAAATTATCACTGACACATAGAGTCAGGAAAAGAATTTTGCACAATCCTAAAAATATTCCTAAATTGCACCCAATGAAACTAAAAGAAAAAAAACCTCAATGAGTAAAGAATACAAAACCCTGAGCTCCAGAGTCAAATGATGCTTTCTAAAGTGAGGGGCCACTGAAAACCAAGTTGTGTATCATTGAGTTGTTCAGGACATTATTCTGGCATTCAAATTGGGCCTTTATTAAAGTTAATATTCTCTTGATGGAGCAAGATCTCACCATTGGCCATGGGACCTACCTAAAGTTGTACAGAACTGTGGTTCGAGAACAACTCAAGGGCTATAGGTTCCCCATGGTTAAATATAACATTTTAGAATAAAATAATTTTAATTTTCAATCTGCCTCTGATGAAATTTTGCTTTCAACTTCATTCACGTTCATTACTATAGAATGTTCATTGGAATAATTCTATAAAATTGTCTGCAATTCATAAACAAAACAACTCCTCCTTAAAAAGTATTTTTAAAGCATTTTCTTGTTTAGCATAAATGTATGTTGTGAGAACAAAAACTTTAAAAGATCTTATTTCAATAAAGACCATTCACTTGGCCACCCTGGGCTCAAATTTCTGAAGTTACAATTTTCAATTCAATGAACTGAGAAAATTATAGTCATAAAACCCTTGTCACAGTTTAATGTGTATGTAAGTAGTACTATATGCCACTGTATTTAATACATTGACTTCCTCATAAGTATTCTCAGGACTAAATTCCAATTCAGGTCAACTAACTCCAAACCTCATAATCAAACAAAATCATTTCCTAAAATATGAAATGACACATATTTATTAAAGAGGGCAGAGAATATACTATAGGTAGCTTAGCAATGACTTGTTTTGTAAAGCAACAACAGCAAATAGCATTACAATAAATGCTACCTATGGGTTGTAAGGGCAATAGCTACTTAGGCATGTCTCAACAAACATATCCTGCCACTCAGATGACCACACCCTAAAAAATGCAGTCTAAATATTGAGAACCAGAAATGATTTTTTAAGTCAATTATGTGGAAGTCTTATAAATTTATTAGTAATAATATTTAGATCTGTAGAGCTCTTGTTCTGCTTTAAAGAACTTTCAAGCCACTATTTTCATAATAACCTTCCTGGGGAGGCTCAGGAAAAAAACTGTCAAGCAACTCTTGAAAAGGTTTTTACTCTGTGAATAAAACAAGAGACCCAGCCAACAGTTTAACAATCTGTTACAAATCCTGGGAAAGCACTCATTTAACTACATGAGTCTCAAAACCTACAAAGTGAAGGATCTTGTTTCTATAATATAAAAAAGTGCAATCTCAGAGAAGAAAGGAGGAAGTATGATAGAACTAGCCCACAACATTGACAATCGCACAGACATTCCAGGAAATGAGTACTCACACTATACAGCTCATCAATTCTGCTCCGAGTTTTTGATGTAGCCTGCTCAGATCCTTAGCGCAATTTTGTTTTTCTTACAGTGCTTATCACGTCTGCCTATGACTACAGTTTTAACATAGTCTGTGGCATTTCAGAATAGGACAACAAAGCCAAATGAAGAGTTTCCAAACTCCCTCTGCCTACAGCCTTTCTGCTCCACCCCCTTATGAATATGCTAAAAAGCTGCGTAGCTGACAGCAGCCACTGAGTCAGGACAAAAATAAACTCAACAATTAATGCAGTCAAATAGAAAATATTTCCTAAGCCAAATATGCTTACTCCACATCACTAATTTTAGTGCAAAAAGACTGCAGTTATCCCTAGATATTAGTATTGCTTAGCTTGTAGGATTCATAGAAGCCATTGTAATTTGTAGACATAGCATAATTACCAAATGTACCAGGAGTTGTAGAAGTGTGAGCATTAATAAATTATTTCCAACTTGTTTGTTTTTCTAACAGCAAGAGAAGCACTGTCTATACACACCTCAATTATGCCCCCTACAGCAAATGCACAAAATACTCAGCAATTTTTATTCATCAGAAGAAGCAATAAACTCAAAAATCTTGCAGTTTTTTCCACTATGATTCTTCCTTGCTTCATATTTAAAATATGATTTTCTTAATAGTGTAGATAGAATACACCATTATTAAATGCCTTTTAAAATAAATATTATAAATATTTAAACAAAAACATCTGGGTATTTTGAATTTGATCAGACATTTATGCTAATCTAGAGCACATAAGATCATTTCATTTTAGAAACACAATAAAACTAAATGCCTGTTAAGCAGTAAGTACTGTATAACATGTTTTTTGTAGCACTCTTTCCGGCCCAACAAATTCTTAGGCTTGGACAATGCTAACTTCAACCACTGATGATTTTTGGACATAAAACTAAATTATTGTTCAGATTATAAAAATAACTCTAAGTTACCTACACAGATTGCATTAAGCCAAAACACAAAGAATCATGTTCTGTGAAATGGGGAACTCTATAAATTTTATAATAAATAAATAAATAACGTGACCTTTTTGATTGTTATTTTGGTTTGGTATGCCACATGAGTCTAGCTACTATATAGCTATTCAGCAAGAAGGATTAAATGTATAAATTCAATTGGCAGTTGAATTTAATTTAGATGTGGTGCAAGAAGAAATTATAATTTTTTCTTTCTTTACAACAGCTTGACATACCATCAATGCAGAATCTACGGTCAATATGAATTATGATTTGTTTGTAGACTGTCTCAAAAGGCCAAGCAGCAAATGTTAATCTTCTCTCTGCAGACATTTAAGCTTCACGGCACTATCAGAACCAGCCAAATTATTTTGGCATCTGAGCCAGAACTTCTACAAGCAACTTTTTACCTTCCTAACAGTAAAGTATAATAACGAACAATAGCCTGTTACCATTTCTCTACAAAACTGAACCAGCTTCAAAACCTGAATGTCGAACCTTTGTTTAAATATAACTAGTATTAATCAATATTTAGGACTTTAATAGCATATTAAATTGTGAATAGCGGCAATTGAAAGCATAAGATCTCTGTAATACAAGAGCAAACACAGAGCTCAAAATTGGTTCATATTCACGATGAGAAATCATGGTTTTGTAACATGCAATTTTGGAACTGATTATATCTAAGACTCGCAACACGAAAGTTCCCAAGCATCTCTGGTTAAATAAATATAAGTATTATGTATTCATTGAATTTACAGTATTTCCTGCCTTTCTATTAAAAATAAAAGCATGTCACACAAAAGCCAAGTTCTGCTTTTTGTAACTGTACAGACAGAAAAGGTCAAATATGATTTATATTCAAGCACCCATCTTTCTTGCTTTCTATAACGCAATTGATATAAAATAGGTAAACATAAATTATTATATTACACTATCTGAGTTACATCTACTTAGGTACAGTTCTTAATATTCTATACATTGATTTTAAAAGCAGAACATTAAACCTTAGAATATTTACAGGCTGAAATTAGACCAAAATTATTTAAATTTTAAGAAGTACTCCAAAATAACTTGTGAAAAAAGACAGGAGGATTATAACATTAAAATATTTGGAGATATATTTGAGATAAGGCAAAATGCTGACAGAAAATATGACCAGCACAAAGCCTCATTTACAAATCATAAATTATCACCGATAATAAATTATAAATATTAAAGCCTTGCATTTAAAATATGTGAATATTAATCCTACTAACTAGTTTAATTTAGATATTTCAATTTTGCACTTTTCTTAATTTTTCATGAGCTCAGAAACTCTCTACCTCTTTGGAAAAGCAATGATCTGTTCCAGTAGCAGCATCATAAACATTTAAAACAATAGGGAAATATTTTGCTTTTGGGAAGGTTAATAGGTCTACAAACAGGTAAATTACCTTATTGACTGAAGAAACTCCACTGGTCTGGCTTTTGGGCAATTCAATATCGCTAGTATTTACAGTTCTCTTCTGTAAAGAAAAAAATAAAATATTAAATATTAGGATTTTACATCCTGGGAGAAATGCTTCAATAGAGACATTAAATTCTATTTCCAAACTTTATTTCCCTGGTATATTATAAAAATGCCCTTCTATAAGCAATATATTCATGAAATTAAATTAAATAGTGTTCCAACAAATTCTTGAAGCACCATTTGGAATTATGAATATTAATTTCTCAGGCAAAACTCATGCAAAAATGTATTAACATATTATGATATTTTATCAAATTCCTGTCATAGACGAATCACAGATTTTGAAATTATGAATTAACTGTAGGTATTTGTCTTCCATTATCTCATCAGAACACAATGTAGTGAAGACAAAGTTAAACATTTTTCTAATGTACATCTTTAAATTGTTATAATATTATGTGTGTGTGTATAACAATATATATATAACAATATATAACAATATAACAATATTATATAGTTATTTTAACTTAACATAGCTTAATTCTAAAACCTGCCACACCAAGGCCAAGGATATTAATATATTTACTAAAACTTGGTAACCGGTGTTTTAGAAATACCATACCAAAATAAAAGATGCAGGTTTTTTATTGAAAAAAGGAAAGAAGATTAAACTGCATTATAAAATTATACATTTTCTTTTCTTAAAAGACCCAACTTCTTTAAAAAGAATAATGCTAATGATAACCATTTTTATTTTTAGAACCCTCCCCCCAAATGACCTAACTTAAGTTAATGCCTTTGCTCATACCACAAAGTGTTTAATTTCTAAATCAAGGAACGACAGTTGGCACAAAATAGGAAAAACAAGTTGAAAAGTTAAAAAATGTCCAAAATATTCAAACTTTATTTTAAAGCTATGTGTATATATTTTGGTCATTGTACAACTGATACTAAAATGTAACAAAGAATGTAAAATGAAAGTTGTGAAAACTGTTTGAAAGTGGAACAGGAAAGAGAGTAGTATTTACTTTTATTGTAAATATATCATTCTATTCAATTTTGCTGATAACTAGCACTGTAAATTGACACTGATTTGTGCATTCTGTTCTCTGCATGTTTAAGGACCTGCAGGTGAACACAATACCTTCCATTATACCAGTAGGCTAGGAAGGCAATGAGCTGACAAAGTCAGAAAGGATAAATTACAGTAGCACTTATTCTTCAGTAAATGTGATACATTCTTATTTATCTAATACAAAAAGCAGAACAGATAATGTTGCAAGCAAATTGCCATCATCCAGGACAATTCAAAAGTCAACCAAGTTTTAGAACAAATGTCAGCTAGTTTGACTGAAAGGTCAGATTCCTGTTCTTTTGAACTCAGAATACAATTCTCTGTTATCATGAAACGGAGCTGAGTTTCACTGCCTCATTCAGCATTCCTGTCTTTGTATTTCTTTCCCACTTTTTGCTGCCTTCCAACAAGACAGACATTTAGATTATGTTTCTTGGGATAGACATAGACATATTCTGATACCCTTATTCTGCTACAAAGATGGTTGGATCCACACATCATTCCTACTATAACTTGGTTTGGATTTCGCCTTGTGTAAAGACAACCATTGTGATTTGTTCAACTACAGCAGGAGTGTCAAACTCGATTTTAATGAGGGCCACATCAGAGTTGTGTCTATTTATTTATTTATTAAATTTATATTGATGCCTATTCGCCCACGGCAACTTGAGAATGTAAACCATATTTTTTTTAAAAAAAATACCTCAGGGAGGGGGCAGGTGAGCATGGCCCGGATGGGCATGGCCAGCCAGACATCACTTATATTGGGGGCACCTGTGGAGGCCGGAGTGCTCTGCCAGTGAAGATAGCAGTCCTCCTGAGCTCCGTTTTCACTGGCAGAGCCCTCAGCCCACCACAGGCACCCCCGACACAAGTGACATCGAGCTGGCAGAGGCACCACGGGCCAACCCTTCACTGTTTCATGGCAGCCCTGAGGGCTAGATCTAAGCAGCTTGCAGGCCAGATCCCACCCACGAGCCTTAAATTTGAAATCCCTGAACTGGTTTGGTGTGAGACTCCACTTAGTAAAAGGCACATAATCATACTAACATTTATAAAAGAATGATGATGAAAATCTGGAAGCAGCCACACTTCGCCAATCTTAATCAAAGGTAACCTGAGCAGTATATGGAATAAAATTATTAAAGTGCTGAGCCCAAAATTTCTGTTGTTAAGTGAGTTTTGCCCCATTTTATGACCGTTCTTGCCATAGTTAAGTGAGTCATTGCAGTTGATAAATCAGTAACCCGGTTGCTAAGTGAATCTGCCTTCCCCTTTGCTTGTGAGAAGGTCACAAAAGGTGACCACATGACCATGGGACACAGCAAAGGTCATAAATGAGCCATAAATGTCAAGCATAGCTCAGCAAACCAAAATGTCCTTCTAGCCAGAAACAGCCCAAATTGATTCTGACTTGTTCAGTTTGGGATAATGACAATCTGCTTCTTTCTCTTCTATATGAAGGTCTAGATCAGAAAACAGGACAAAAGAAAGTTGCTATACCAAGAGTGCTTTCTGGCCAAGATCTTCATCTTGCAAATCCAGCTAGGTCCAGAGATAGCAAATTAATTGATTTTAGTCCAAAGTTGCTGCCTAGTAATGATTTCCCATTCTGATGACAATATCAATAAAACATCAGTATGTCTTGTTACACTGAGGCAAGAACATAACACTTTGAATACCACCAATTGACTCACTACTAAGGCTAAGGGGGTTACATAAAACCCATCTCTTGGAATACGGCTGGGTGGCATAATAAATGGGTGACTACCCATTTTGAACAACACCTGTCATTGTTCATTGTATTACAAGGATTAGTCAGACAGTGATTACAGGCGGTTCTTGCTGAGCAATTACATCTCAGTTGTTAAGCGAAACAGTTGCTAAGTAACCCTAAGCCCTGCAACTATAGTTATGATCTTACTTCAGCTTTGCTTTGCTTTACAAATCTGTGAAGGTTGAAAATGTGAGGATTGATAACAAAGTTACTTTTTCATCACTATTATAATTGTGAATGGTTGCTAAATAAGATAATAGCTAAGCAAGGACTGTCTGTACAGTATATCCAAACTGTTCAGATAGATAGCTTAGGAATACTACTTTAAATGCATAACCTTATAAATGCTGACTCAATAAGGAAGTCTTGTTTTGATAAATTAATATAAATAGGATCGGAGCTTTATTACCTAACCTGCAATATGAATTAACTCTGACAATACTGAGTGGCTTTGGGTATTGGAAGTGGCTGGTTCTAGGACTATGCCATCCTTGGTGCTGGATGAGATTGTAGTGCTCCATGCACTAAAACTGGGGGGTCTCTTAAACTCACTACTCCTGCTTGAAGAAGAGGGACAATCATGGATAGAGGGCCTTTGCACAACTTTGTGTTATGTGCTGGTTGCACCCATTCTTATATTGAAGAGCTGTACTCATGGCCACTCAAACCCTAGTAACCTTCCAGTTGGACCATTGTAATGTGCTCCACATGGAACTGCCTTTGAAGTACATCTGAAGGCTTCAGCTGTTGCAAACTGCAATAATGTAAGAATTAATGTATGTTTCCAGAACAACACATTACACCTCTGCTCCACAATCTGCATTTACCCAGTTCAAGTTGCTGGCTTTGACTTTTGAAACCCCACATAGCATGGGATTTGATTATCCGAGGGACTGATGCTCTCCAATTGCATCTGCCTATCTTATCAGAACCAACAGGAAAAGCATATTATGGGTCCTGTTAACTATGGAACTATATCTGGCAGGTCCAAAGCAGCAGATTTTTTTTTTGCAAAGGTGTCACTTTATGGAGCATCTTTCCCACTGTAGTGAGGGTACATCCCTATTGAGTTTCCAGAAGTCCCTCAAAACTTGGTTGTGCTATCAGGTGAAATACTGGTTATTAATATCTACTCTTCACCTAATATTTGTTTTATTTTAGCCTTGGGTTTTGTAGTTTTTAAAGTGTTTAAAATTAGGAAATACGATTCCAGGCTCAATAATTGTCAATAAGAAAGACACTGTAGTACTTGAAGATAGCAGAATAGAAGACGAAGATTTCTTAATGACTTGCCATCCCATTACATGTGGAATGATGCAAATATACCAGATAGCTGAGAAGAGAAACAGGCACTGGAAGAATATCTGAAGAACCGTGAAGAAGATGCACTTTAAGCCAGTACACCACGAAGGCTTACTGGATACTAAAGAGATCAAATTGGCCTACAAGAAAGTCTAAAAGAAAAATAGAAAAGTATTTCATGGTCAGTATACACACACACACACACACCCCTAACAGGCAAAGCAGATAAACAATAAGACCTGGCAATGACTAAGAACAGGAAAGTTGAAGAAAGAGACAGAGGGACTAATTCTGGCTACACAAGACCAAGCCTTAAGAACAAAAGTATATAAAACCAGAATGGAGAACACAGCAAATGCCCCTCTGCAAAGAAACAAAGGAAACAGTGGACCATCTAATAAACAGTGGCATGACAAAATAGCAAAAATGTTGCACTGGAGTATCTGCAAGAAATACAATTTGGCTACAAGAAAGAATCGGAGGGATCACAAAATATACAAACTAACAGACAGTGAAGAAGCTAAAGCCTCTGTGACTTTAGAATTCAAACAGTCAAGCACCTGACACCTGAAACTCCAGATTTAATAACTGTTGATAGGAAAGACAAAAACATATGAATAGTGGATGTTGCAGTATCTAAAGCCAGCAGAAGAAAAGAGAAAGAACTTGATAAAAAAAATATGAAACAACAACATCTGCCAATATTAAATCAATAGAAGGACTGAAGGATCAAGGACCATGTTTACTGATTTAAATAAAAATGCAAAATCTATTCTAAACATCTGGCTGACTGTGTGACCAGTCATAACAGCCATTGTTCTGAATAACAATGATTTTTAAGTCTTGTTTTATGCCACCCAGAGTCACTTGTTTGTGCCGCAGGTAGCCATAAATATTTGACAAATAAAGAAACAATTAAATGACATACCTCAAGAACCAAGGTGATCAAGATATCACTTTTAAAAAAAAACGTGCTTAGCTTATTCCTGTAACCTCAAGTGAGTACAGCAACCTGTATTTCTCAAAAGTGTTAAGACCAACTCTCAACACTTGATCTTTAGCCAAATTCCTCACATCTGACACACAAAGTTCAACATTAGAGTTCAAATGAAATCCAGCTTTCTCAATTATATTGAAGAATAGACCAATTGTATGCTATCCACTTGGTGTCAACTTAACAAACACAAAGAAAGAATGTCTCCAGAAAAATCAAGGGCAAATATGAGGCCTTATTAGAACCCTATTAACTTTCCATGTGAGAGTTCCTATGAATGCAGAAGCCTCTGCATTTACAGCTGTATTCATGAATTCACCTCTCATATCTGCTTGCATGGACATCCAGCAAAGCCAGCTTCCATACCTTAAAAGTTGAGGCATTCTGTATAACACAGAAAAGTGCAATTTCCTAAATCTCCTAAAATAGGCAAAAATTATATTTGATTTAATTGAATTAACATGTAGTTAACACTATGCAATTCATTGCCCATGTGTTTAATAACTTACAGGTGAAACTTGAAAAATTAGAATATTGTGCAAAAGGTCATTTATTTCAGTAATGCAACTTAAAAGGTGAAACTAATATATGAGAGACTCATTACATGCAAAGCAAGATAGTTCAAGCCGTGATTTGTCATAATTGTGATGATTATGGCTTACATCTCATGAAAACCCCAAATCCACAATCTCAGAAAATTAGAATATTACATGCAATCAATAAAACAAGGATTGTGCATAGAACAATATCGGACCTCTGAAAAGTATAAGCATGCATATGTACTCAGTACTTGGTTTGGGCCCCTTTTGCAGCAATTACTGCCTCAATGTGGCGTGGCATGGAAGCTATCAGCCTGTGGCACTGCTGAGGTGTTATGGAAGACCAGGATGCTTCAACAGCAGCATTCAGCTCTTCTGCATTGTTTGGTCTCATGTCTCTTATCTTTCTTTTGGCAATGTCCCATAGTTTCTCTATGGGGTTCAGGTCAGGCAAGTTTGCTGGCTAATCAAGCAGAGTAATCCCATGGTCATTGAACCAGGTTTTGGTGCTTTTGGCAGTGTGGGGCAGGTGCCAAGTCCTGCTGGAAAATGAAGTCAGCATCTCCATAAAGCTCATCTGTGGAAGGAAGCATGAAGTGCTCCAAAATCTCCTGGTAGATGGCTGCGTTGACCCTGGACTTAATGAAGCACAGTGGACCAACACCAGCAGATGACATGGCTCCCCAAATCAACACAGACTGTGGAAACTTCACACTGGGCTTCAAGCATCTTGCAGTGTGTGCCCCTCCATTCTTCCTCCAGACTCTGGGTCCTTGGTTTCCAAATGAGATGCAAAAGTTGTTCTCATCAGAAAAGAGGACTTTGGACCACTGAGCAACAGACCAGTTCTGTTTTTCTTTCGCCCAGGTAAGACACTTCTGACATTGTTTGTTGTTCAGGAGCGGCTTGACAAGAGGAATACGACATTTGAAGCCCATGTCCAGGATCCGTCTGTGTGTGGTGGCTCTTGATGCACTGATTCCAGCCTCAGTCCACTCCTTGTGAAAGTCCCCAACACTTTTGAATGGCCTTTTCCTGACAATCCTCTCCAGGCTGTGGTCATCCCTGCTGCTTATGAACCTTTTTCTTCTGCACTTTTCCCTTCCACATAACTTTCTATTAATGTGCTTTGATACAGCACTTTGGGAACATCCAACTTCTTTTGCAATTACCTTTTGAGGCTTTCCCTCCTTATGGAGGGTGTCAATGATGGTTTTCTACACAACTGTCAGGTCAGCAGTCTTTCCCATGATTGTGATTCCTACTGAACCAGACTGAGAGACCATTTAAAGGCTCAGGAACCCTTTGCAGGTGTTTTGGCTTAATTAGCTGATTAGAGTGGGACACTTTAAGCCTAGAATATTGAACCTTTTCACAATATTCTAATTTTCTGAGATTGTGGATTTGGGGTTTTCATCAGCTGTAAGCCATAATCATCATAATTATAACAAATCACAGCTTGAACTATCTTGCTTTGCATGTAATGAGTCTATCTCATACATTAGTTTCACCTTTTAAGTTGCATTACTAAAATAAATGAACTTTTGCACCATATTCTAATTTTTTGAGTTTCACCTGTACATCTGTCTTGTTAAAAACAGAAAGTTTAGAGATTCTGAATTATAGGAAACTACATGTAGCCTGCAGCCTGTAGACTCCTGATAAAAAGCTTAGAGAGGACTCTAAATTCAGTTAAATTCAGAAATGATAATAATGACATTCGTGTACTATGGCTTAAGCACTCCTACCCAATACTGCTTGAATTGAATTCATGCAATTTGAAAATAATTCAGAATAAGTCTTTCAGAGCTTATATGCACACAACACTTCTTTGTATTCATTAAAGCAGCCCAGTTTATGGCTGATGGCTAATAATGATAACCAAATCGCAACAATTAATGAAATTTGTTAACCATTCTAGAATTTCTTTATACAAGCTACGAATGATTACAGGTGTGTAAAAGTTAAATAATGAGTCATTTTGTTATCTTATTATACAGTAATTTATAGCCATAGTTTACCTCAGTTGCTTCTGCTCCTTTCTTCTCTTTTGATGCTCCACTTGCATTTTTATCTCCATGCTATAAAAAAATTTAAAATGTCAAACTAGCATTTGAAAACAACATAAAATATTTTCTACACAAGGAATAGACAACACGGTTTTCAAAAGCAACATGCCCACAGATCACTCCCTTTGCACCCACAAGACATTTTCCCCCATTCTAAAAAGAAAAACAAGAAGTTGGTATGCTGCAAAGCACCTCAATGGCTTCTGGTGCTGTCTTTACAAAAATTCCACCAGCTCCCACAATAGATTGCACAGATCTATTTAGAAAATAAAAATGATGGAGGGGTCACAATGAAGGTACTAGGACTAAGGAAAACACCTTCATGTCCAATCTACCTTCTTTCATCAACTGGGATTTTATACCCAAGCAATCTTTCGTGGAGTGAAAAGCCCACCCCTTCTTCCCCCTATTAAGACCTTACATGATTTAATTGCAAAAATCCCAATTGTTCTTATTGGCTTCAAAACATTACTTATACTTTAAATTTAAATGAAATTAAATATAATATAGATTTTTATTTTCTATATTTATAATTTCTGGAGTATAATCCCTCACAGGTATCGAACTTTTTTCTGGAATACAATAGGTCATATTGGGTCATCTCTTGCTGTACCAGGGGTTTTGTTCCCAATGTAGGAGGTGTGTTTGAAACAAAACCCAAACTGTATTTCTTCTCATTTAAATTTAAATATAATTAAACCAAAATATAACAAATACAATTACTTCTGTCATACTGAATCATTTTCCCCTTTTGTCACATTAAATTTTGCAATATCCTACACACAATTTTAGAGGCCTATACAATTTAAGTGGCCACATATACTTGCATTTCTTATTATGATAAATGATCTACATAAATCAACATATAACTATAAAAACAAATACATGTTCATTAAGGATGCATTATTTGATTACATATTTTGATTGCTGTCATGGAAAATTTGATCACAATAATAATTTCTGTATATTCATCTCAGGTAGGCTGGGATGTTGGTTAAGACAGATAAAAGAAATGAGTTCTTAGAACCTTGGAATCAAGATTCTACTATGGTATAGGATCTTACTAATCACCAAATGATACTCCATATTCTTCATCCTCTACAGGACTACATGTCTGGCTTTAACATACTGTAATCCATAGAAAAGAGAAGCCACATATGGTCTGGGAACTGAGGATAAGTTGCTCTGCTGTATATTCACTAGTGATGTGCTTTTTAACATTTTTGCCATATGCTAAATAAATAACTACATAGCTTACAGGAAATCCTTGACTTATATCCATTTATGTTGCAACCAAAGTTACAACAGCACTAAAAAGTGACTTATATCTGCCTCATACTTACAACTGTCACGTCATCCCCACAGTCACATGATCAAAATTTAGGCGCTTGGCAACTGGCATGTATTTACAATAGTTGCAGTAACCCAAAGCCATGTGATCATCATTTGAAACCTTCCCAGCCAGCTTCTGACAGAAAAGTCAATGGGAGATACTGGATTCATTAACCGCATGATTCACTTAACAATTCCAGTGATTTGCTTAAATGGTTTGGCAAAAAAAGTTACAAAATCAAGATTCACTCAATAACAGATATTCTGGCCCCAACTATAGTTGAAAGTCGATGATTGCCTGTATTTCCAAAAATGTATGATTCATTATTATGATAAAATCTTCAAGAAGCCCTTATGAGAACAGCTAGAGTTGTTTTTGTACTATGATAGTGAATCTCTCTTCCCCAACTGATTGTGTGACAGAATGCAGCAACTGAGTACAATGCTGTCTCCATACTATCATATGATCACCTAGACATATTTCTAGCACTGTGACGAATCAGTTGGGGAAGAGGCAAATAGCTGATGAATCAGAATGAATAGGCAGCTTTGGAATGGCTGAAAGGTATTTTGTCCCAGGATGATCTGGAAGAAGATTCCAGTGTCCCAAAGACCAGAGTGAGACAGAAGAAAGATCATCAACATCAAGGAATCTTGTTCTAGAGCAGAGGTCTCATTCTCGCGGCCCGCGGGCCAATTGCGGCCCGCAGGACGATATCCTGTGGCCCCCACCGTGATATGAAAGTATAATATTAGTGCGGCCCACAGGGGGAATGGACCTCTGAAGAAAGTCCCGCCCGCCTTTCCTCGTTGTGGCTGACATTCGGTGCTAGGCTAAGCTACACCGACTTCATGCACACTACGCTTGTAACAACAGTGTGGCGGATGACGAAAAGTCCGGTAGCAGTCGCCTTTTTTTACGGTCGCCATTCTGGTACTTTCTACCATCAACAAATGCCATGATCAAACGCAGAGAAAGGCGACTGCTACCGGGCTGTTCGTCATCCGCCGCGCTGTTGTGACAAGTATAACCGGAAATGATGTCACGCGTCGAGATGCGGCCCAGCCTCACCCAGCCTCTGCCTCCAGCGGCCCCCAGGTAAATTGAGTTTGAGACCCCTGTTCTAGAGGAAGATAAATGAAAACAATATCCTACCAGCCTGATAAATCTCCAGCCAGGTTTGATTCGTGTACTTATTTTGCTCCTAGAAAGAGATGGGATGTAGAAGTAGCACTGTATAGAGAACAGATTTAACTGTATAGAGGACAGATTTAACTGTGCCAGGGTAAGTTTTATACTGCCTATAAAGAAATTAATTTTAAAATGTTAAACAGGCACATATAAATTACCTGCTTATCAAAAAAGCTGTAATAAGGTAGGAGAAAGGGGAAGAAACCAACAGGCATTGTTTGATTGCTTTATCTGATTATTTGCTTGACTTAATCATTTTTGCACAAATAAAAGGAGACTATTTTTTCCTATGTGAAGTTATGATACTGAAGGAAAAAATTACAATATTATCTTTTTGATATTTTATTTCAATACTGTATCTTCACAAGAACTAAAAAGTGTTGTTTTTCTTTCATAACTACTAGAATTTTCACTAAGACGGATAAACAAAAAATTAAAATATGTATTTAAAACTCCAATGTTAAAAAAAAGTAAATATTTGGTGTGTAACAATGATTTTATATCAGTGCATTAATTTGGATTCTTTTATTCTGCTTTTATTATTCATAAGTAGGAGTGCAGTGACTCGTGGTTAGAATGCTGGGTTGACAATCTGCAAGCCCACATTTGAAAGCCAAGTACTGCTATGCAATGGGGCGAGCTCCCGTTATTCACTTCAACTCCTGCTCACCTAGCAATTTGAAAGTGTGTTAATGCAAGTAGATAAATAGATACCACTTCAATGGGTACATTAAGGGGGGCATGAAAGGAGTCTCCAACCTGGCATCCCCTGGGCAACGATGATGTCACCAGTTAATCCTTTCAACCCAGAAGCGCCTTAATCCTTTCAACCCAGAAGCGCCTTAGCACTTCTGACACGAAAGCAGCAGCAGCAACTTCATAAGTAATTGAAGGCTTTTTCTTCCCCTATTTTACCTACGACAACTGTGTGAGGTAGATTGAGCAGAGAAAGAGTGACTGCCCATAGACATCCAGTCGGCTTTCATATCTAAGGCAGGACTAAGGCATGCCTAAGAGAAGACTAAAACTCACAGTTACCTAGTTTCTAGGCTAGCACCTTTCCCGCCCAAAACAGGAAGATGCCTTCCAGAACAAAATGTCTTAATAGGGTAGCAAAACATAAACTGGGTAATACATTAACTTCTGAAATAACTGAAACAATTGGTGATAAATCATACCAGGACTTTTGAAACATTATCTTCAGTATGAACCCATCAAGTTATTTTGTAGAGGAACTTGACATATTCAAGATGTAATTTCATAGCAATGAGAAAACTTTTTTTTCTTTAGAAAGGACTTTTCTCGTAAAATGATTTATTAATTTCTAATTTGTTTAGAAAGGCCTAGCTGAGAAACTATTTATCTCCAGTTAATTTATTCATTATAAATTAAATAAACTTCATTGAAAGCTACCTGAGTATTTATGGCTGTGATTCTTAATTGCTGCTAGTTATTTGATATTGAGGGATCAATTGATTATTGCCATCATCAGCATTGATTCTTAGCAACCATGTAAATAGATCTCCAGGATGTTCTGTTACCAGATCTTGCAACAGTGTATTCATTACCACTGTGATCAAGTATATCCACCCTCACGGTTAAAACATCCAAAAGGATGTCACACAGAACAAAATCAAGAACTTATCCTTCATTGTTCCAGAATACAAGATTTAAATTACATGAAAGCAGTTTTCAGCTTTTAAAAAAAACCTTTCACACACAAAAAACTGGTTCAATAGGGGAAACAGTTACCCAGAGAAATAGAAGGTCCCTTCAGTCTTTCAAGGTAGTTCTTACCAGAAATAAAGCCAGGAGTAGTAACTCTATTGTAAGGTTATATTAATCTTGCAAGTCTGAAAGGATCCCTCCCATAACTCACTTTTATTCTCCCAAAAACCAGAGAGGATCCCTTCCGAGACATTTTTGCCACTGTTCCCGATTCAAATTTCATTGTGTAGGCTGTGCCTCTTCTTACTGTCTCCCAAAGTCATTTCCACATACACATTCCCTTTCCACATTCCACTAGACATGTCCAAGCACAGGAAGCTAGAAAACATTGTAGAAGTTTTAAATTGGATTCCAGAATCCAACAATAATTAATGCTCCCTTCCAATTAGTAACATAGGGGTTCTGGCAGGATGTAAATTACCTTGAGGTAAGATGGTTGGCCTATGAAATATAAAGCATATATTTATGTATGTATATTATAAATATACATTTATAAATATTTTATATTTCTATAAATATATTTTATAAATATAAAAATATGTTATAAATATACATAAATATTTATATGTAAATGTGGAAGGGGAGTAGAAGTATGCATACATAAAATCTACATTAAGTTTTCCTTGGGTAGGAAAAAATTTAGAATAATAACAGAAATCCAAGTTCAGCATTTATCCAATTGTTGTTATTATTATTTCTGTCTGGAATAAGATTTTATGCAATGTTGTACCAGAGTCATTTCTGTGAAGGTATCAAAGTA